GGCAGGGATGTCCATGCACGGGTGCTCGGTTTTGCGTTTGAAAATGGCCGGCGCATGGCATTGCTTGATATACAATCGGCATTTAGCACATTGAACGGCAAAATTGGTAGTAGCCTTGGCTTCACAGTCACGCCACTCGTGGCCCAAGGCCGGGTCGAAGGTTTCCAGCATCATTTTTAGCTTTTTGTTTTTTATTGGGCTCCCCACAGGTAGATGAGACCTTCTCAAACACCTTATTGGGGATCACCTTGGCGCGATTGGAAACGGGATCACCCCAGGAGTCATCTTTCCGCTGCATCTGGGTTTCGCGACCACACGACCCCCCCGATCCCTGTGACTGTTGCTTTTGTAATACGAAACGTAAAAAGCGACGACAGTTCTGCACAAACGCAATGACCTCGCGTCGCCTCCTGGACCCCTGGACCCCAACCTTAAAACGGGAACCCTTCTGCGGAGCATTCGGAAAAACATGGAACTACTCGCGCTTTGCCCATGGGTCTGTCCAGGGATGGGTCGCCTTAGTTGACCAGTGGCCTAGCTGCTTGCACTGGCGGTATCTGCTCCTGGCTTTGACATGATGCTGTCAGAGCAGCCTGTGGCTTCCCGTCCTGCTCTCCTGAAGCGCCTTCCTGTGGTCGAGGTAGGAGCCGTAGACAACTAACACCTTTTGGTCCTCATCCACCAGTCTCCACTTTTCCACTCGCAAACTTGCCCTTTCCCTTGCCTTTTCCCCTTGCCATTCGACAAGCGCTGGTTGGATTCGTAGAAGACATGTGACAAGAAGTCACCTGCGAACTCTATGGCATCCATCTCTTCCATGACAGTTGACAAGGGCTCGTCCAGAACCATGTAGAAAGTCCGCCGCGCCATCTTCATAGTCGCCATCATCCCAGCCGTCAGCTTGCCAGTAGGTCCTGCCCTTCACGGCTTGACTCTCATCAACAGCATCTCCAAACAGCTTTCGGATGGCACATGCCACCTTGTCATACGCGATGGAGGCCATTCGTAAGGACTCTGATCCGCTGCTGCTGATCTTCACTGAAGCCGCCTTGCCGGATGATCAGGCGACCAAGTCAAAGCTTCCCCGCTCAGCTTTCAAGTAGGTCCAAGCCTTGCTTCTTCAGCTCTCCAACAGCTGCTTTCATCCCTGCGAGGAAGCCTGTCAGCGTCCGTCCTTGACGTCGCCTTCCCCGAAAGATGGCTTGCTCAAAGGCTTGTTCCAGCATGGCATCCTTTAAGTACTCGTGAGCCTCCTCTATCAAAGACACAACTATGTCCTCGAAAGGTGCCCGTCCCCTTGCGGAGAATCTTGTTGAAGTCGCGCAGCTGAAGCGCAGTCACTGCCCTGGCCGTTGCCAAGGCTCGGCTGCCACGCAAATGCGCAGGCACCTGGCAAAACTGGCCGCCACTTTTCCAGCCCTGGTCCGAAGTCGCGGCCCTGTGCGTGGCTTCACTATGCTCCATGGATCTCCACAGCAAAGCAGGAAGTTATGAAGCTTCGGGGTGTATAGCACGCTGTTCCACAGTTCCAGCCGGCGCGACATAGTGTTCGCCATAACACGTGAGTAAGTGTTATGGGGCGGCCCTGCTGCTTGATATGAAGACGCTGCATATGTCTGGCAGTTGCAATCTTCTTCCCAATACCCATGTCATTCCACACTTATCTTGCAGAATAGCCTTTGGCATTACCTTGCCAACAATCTGCGGCGTCGTGTCCCATTTTGCACAATTGAAACATGGTCCAACTTGGGATTTTTTCTTCACTTGATTTGCTTTTGCTTTTCCAAAGTTGCCTTTGCCTTTTCCTTTTCCTTTGCTGTCTCCTACGCGCTTTCCTTTTCCTTTCGATCCATAGCCTTTCGCTAATAATGGTTTTCCTTTCCAATTCCTCTTCCTTTATCACCTTCTCTACCTTTGCCGCATCCTCTACCACCGCCTGTACCTTTTCCGTTCCCTTGAGAATACACTGCATCAATTTCCATCTCTTGTTTTCCTTGGTAGTTGTCTCCTCCATTATTTCCTGAGCTTTCATCTATGTTCAAACTTGCCAACACATTGCTTACTGTCCGTGACTTTGTAGAACGCTCATACTCCAGAAGTCTGCTGCGAATGTCTGAATACGAAGCGCTTGATGACAAATTCACGTCGTTTCCAATCTTCAAGATCTTCAAAGGTCTGTTCTGTAGCACTGTGGTCAAGGTTGAAAAATTTAGCGTAAGCTCTCATCTGCATGTCTTCAAGCTTTGCAGTCTCTGCAATCTTCAATTCTGTAAGATACTCACTGTCCAGATATCCCATGAAAACTTTTGCTGGAAATGCCCAATCTTCCCACTGGCTGACTTCTTCACCCAGACTCTTTGGCTGGAAGCTGACTTTTTCCAAGAGATAGTATTTCTCAACACTGTATCCCAAAGGTGCTGGAGCGCTCGGGCCCGGCCCTCCAGAAACCTATATGGCTTGGGCTCAATATGAACCCTATTCCAGTCACATGACGCAGTCACTTTTCTTCTCAAGGGAGGCTGCTGATGGCTCCTTAGGCCGGTACTGCGACACCTCCTTTGAGCCTACATGTTACGTGCGAAACACATCCCTTTGCTCAAACAAACAACCAAGGCATCACATGAAAATAGGAGCAGTAAGATGGGGAAAGCAACTCATAAGTCTTTCTCGCATCGGAATTAGGAAGCTGATCATAAAAGGAGAGGTCAAACTTCATGATGGCTGAGTCACGAATCTTCTTGCACAGGATATCCCGTAAGTCGCTGGACCTGAAGTTTTCAAACATGATAGCGATGACCTCCTGACCTGACATGATCTTTGAGTGCTTGGCGCAATGTCTCTGAAGCTTCTCCACCTCGATCCTAAGGGTCCGAGCAGCGTCTCCTGCGGTCTTCAACATGCCTGTCATTGCCAAGCACATCTTTGATCAATGGCCCTGTACTCTTTCTTCACTTTATTCAAATCCTCAAGCTTTCCAAGCAGGTGTCAACCACTACTTTATCTACTTAGACTTCTGATGGTGTGAATCTCCTGAGGCCATGACCAATGACATAGCCAACCGAGAATTCCAGAGATCCAGCTGATGCATCTTTGGATACAATGGGCAGATACCTTCTCGGCTTCCTTGCGTGTGACTTTGTCTTTCTTTTTGTCTTCTTATCATTATCCTCTGAGGATGAGGAACCTTCGCTAGAACTAGAAGATGAAGATGAGGGACCCCAAGAGGAGGAAGAAGGGATGAGGATCACCATCTGGCCCAGGTGCTCCATTCCCAGATCTACCTCCATTATCTCCAGGAAGGAATGGCCGGGAAACTTGAGACCATCACACCCACCTCCCGCAGAACCAGACGCTTGACCAGCAGCGTTGGATCTGCCAAAAATCCGCTTTCCTGGCAGCCTCCTCTTCATCGCCGTCCTCGTCACCTAGGTTGGTCCGCGGGAGGATTCTCGTCAGGATCCTCGTCCTCCCAGGACCACTCGTCCCAGCCCCAAAATCTGTCGCCAGCGTACCAGGCCTGCTTTCTTCTCGGCTGTCTTGCACTCAGGTCCGACTCATCGAACAAGGCACGCAAAGCCTGGCGGATCTTCTCAAAAGACACGACGTTCCGTGTCAAAGTCAGGACCCGCTGGTCGTTTGTTAGCCCTGCCGCCTTCAGAAGTCGGAAGCCGCGAAGCTCGTCCTCGAAGAAACCCAAGTTCTGGTCCTTGCTTGAAGCTGGCGGTGGCAACGGCTCTGGTTCTGGAGGCTTCTCTGCGCCTGTCGTCTCTTCAGCATCGGCACCCGGTCGCGCTGAGCTTGGAGATGCCGGTGTCGAAGACGAAGGTCCAGTTGAAGCCCTGGAAGCTTTCACAACCACTTGTTGCGCCGGAGGCTCGTCTGCAGTTCTCTGAACAAGTCACCCTCAAGGACAATCAGCTCTGGTATGCTCTCCCTGTCCTTCCGCTTCATCTGGTGCCAGCACTCCAACTTTGTGAAACTGTCGAGGATCGGGAGAATCTGAAGTGGAGAACTACACAGCACTTCCAGAAGCTTCGAAAGGCGTATCGAACTCGTCAGTGTTTCACAGCGTCACAGCGCTTTCGGCCGGCCCAGAAAGTCTCGACCAAACTCTCGCTGCAGCTCCACGTTGTTCATTGTCCTTCAGTGTTTTCTCATACCACTTGCAAGCAAGTCCGGGGATCCCGGTCCCAGGTCGGCACGGAATCCAAGTGCTCCGCTGCCATGCAACGGGTGTCAGCCCTTGTCTACAGCAAGGCTCTAAAGCCTATGCAAAAGCAAGGCGCGTCATTTCTGCTCAAAGCTCGAGCATCCCAGTCCCTGTGCAAGCAAAGTGTCTGAACACCTCATGCACATAACAGAGCTCACACCAAGCGACCATTGAAAGGAACTACTTTCTGACAAAACCTTTGAGGTGTCATGCAGCAAAAATGCGCTTCACTTCATCAAATCTTCACAAGTACTACTAAACCCAATTGTGCTGCTGCTGTTGCTGCTGCTACCCCTAATGCTAGTTGTACTCCTACATCCGTCCCTCTTCTCTTGCTCTTGCTCAGGTGGCAGGGGCGGGGTGTGCCAATTCTTGGCAAGCGGCAGCAAGGCTCTTGCTTTTCATGGACTCGAAGTTAAAGAAGTCAGCGCCGATCAGGGCGTCAGTGTTAGCCAAGACCTGAGAGTTAAAGAGTTGAAGGAAGAGACTGAAGAGCCTGAAGAGCTCTTTTTTCATCTTGACAAGGCCTGCTCCGGGATGCTTTCGGCATTGAAGACTTTCACCTCGTCAATAAACCTGAAAAGGACGTCTCGTACGTCTCGTCTCTCTTCTTCTGCTCGTGTCCAGTTCTGGCCGGGGCTCTGTTGAGGAGACTGCATCATCTTCTGGCAGCCCTTCCAATCAAGCTTCCGCTTCTCCTGAGAACACCCGCCCAGCGCAGGTGACTGACGGAGGAACAATCCTCTTGCTTTTCCTGCTTCAGCAAGAAGCCACAAGCAGCCACCACGTCTATACACTCTCTCGGCGGCTTGCCGAGGGCTTTCAGCTCAGTGATTGAGGTCTGGACACACAGGAGATTCAAGAAGTCAAGGCAGCTGCTGAAAGCTGCTTTCTGTGCCTTATCAAGGCAGTCGACGGCCGCCCTGGCCTGAGCTTTCAGCGTGGACAAGGCCTGAAAGACACTGAAAGACCTGACAGCGTTTGAGCCTTCTCCATGGCCGGCAGTGCCTCCACAAGCTCCTGATCCGCCTGGCGGTTTAAGAAAACAGCTTCAGGAATTGACCTTCGTTTGACTTCCCTGTGGGCCTGATCCTTCATGCGCTGTGCCTCTGCGGCTAAAGCCTCGCACTTGCCGTGCTCCTGTCCTCAGCTTGCCAAGGCCAAAGCCGAGAAAGCGAGGCTTCGAGGCTTCGAGGCTTCTTCTTTAGGCTCTGGCGCGCCGCCTCCTTCTCCACCGCTGCAACCTGGGAGGCCGCGGTCACCTGCTTGATCAACTCCTCTGTGGCGATCTTCTTCTCATCCACCTACGACCCAATGGTCACCATAGGTTGAAGCTCAACTTTCGCCACCCGATGGGCGTGGCCTGCCGCAGCGTAATCTCCAGGTCCTGCTTCAAGTCTGCCACCCCCTCCTGCACCTGAGCTCTAAGCGAAAGCGTTGAAGACTCTGTAATATTCTGTCATCTCTTTTGCAAAGGCTTGCAAACGCCAAGGCATCCAAGGCGCATCGTGCATGATCGCCAAACCCCGCTCCAGCCGCGAGACGTTGAACTGCACGTTTTCCTGCTTGGAGCTCAGCATCCTCACCTCAAATACCACGAAAAACAGCACCACGAAACGGGCCAATGCCAAATGGCTTACAAGTGCCGAGACGCGTAAAAGCTGATGAGCTCCAGGAAGGCCTTGGGCGTGGTCGAGTTGAATCTGCGCTCCTCCTCGAGGTAGCGCCGGTTGGCCTCAAGGCCAAGGCCAAGCCAAGAACCTCTGCCTTCCCACTTTCTGCTCTTCACCTTCTGCTCTTGCCTCGTAGATCGACACGTGGACCTCGGCAGCGTGGTGAGCGATGGAAGCCAGGGTCTCCTGCACGAAGCAAAAGCGATGCTCGCACCCTTTGAAACTTCGGAAAGTCCTCATTGGGGATGTTCCGCTCAGCAAGAACAACTAGAAAACGATCTGCCACGCCCACCAGCGCATCACGGGGCCAAGCATGAAAGACGTCCAGCACCATGCAGCTGATGAGAGCCTTGCGCAAAGAGCGCGGTACCAATCGACATATGTTGCCCCCTCGGGCCGAGCTCAGAACGGGAAATTTGCGACCTCTAACACGAAAAGTTGATCCCACCGGGGAGTGGCAAAGAATCAGGTGCAAGTTGGACCCTCAGCTGAAATACGCTCGCGGCATGCCTGCGTGTTCCGCGTACAAGCTTCCAGGATTCCAAGGTGTGGACGAACTTTGTCTAAGAAGTACTGGAACAAGGACCTTAGAAAATCCCCCTTCCTCAAGCGGACATGATGAACTGCAGCTAAGGGTGCTCTCGATCATCTGCATATCCAGCAAACTTCGCCGCATTCCGGATGGCAGAGAAGATATTATCATATTCCTGGCTTCTAAGTCTATGACTTGCAGAAAGCTTACCTACATTTCTGTACTGGGACCTCGCGAGCGAAGAGGTCAGGAATGTTTGCACTGGACAGCATGTCCTGGGCACAGCGCCGACATCGGAGCTAAATCAAACAGGCCACTTTTCGCCACGGGACGTTGATGAAGACCAAAAAGCGCTCATCCGTGATCTGGCTGTCAGTCAGCAGGAAGGCCTCGTGAGACGTCAACTCTTCCGGGAGATGTGAGACTGCAACCTGAAAACTGCAACTGTCGCTGTATTAATTTGCCCGGTTTTCTGAAACAGCTGCAGCTGATGTTGCGGCTGCTGCTGCGCCCTTTTTTTGGTAGAGACATCCGTCAGACTGCAGCCACTGCAGCAGCGTGGAGCAAATCCGTGATAAGAAGTGCCTGAGGCGTCGCGGGCTTCACGGCCGCCTTCTTGTAGAAGGCCTTTTACAAAGGTTCAAAAGTGTGCAGAGGGGGAGTAAGGGAGTCCCGCAATCCAGCCTGCAGATCCAGCTTCAGCTCAGGTAAGCCATAATGCTGGTTCACCAGGATACTCAAGACATCCTTGCTGAGTGTTTCTCAAAGCAAACCACCTCCTTTCTGAAAGTCCTGCCCATTGATGAAGCTCGCGAGTCGGGCCAATGACTGCTTTCCAGAGCCGCCTACGCCAACCAGCAGCGCACTGCCACAGGGATTCTGCGTGATGCGGCAGATGCCTGAAAAAGCTGTGAAACTCGAAGCTTTCCCGTCTTGCCTGTCAAAATCTCACAAAACTCGCAAACCAGCCGGGCTGCGGCAGACATGATGCACTGCATCGTCGAAGAGTACCAAGTTCATGGTTGCGTGCTCCAAATTGTAAGCCACCAGCTTTGCCTCCAAAAAAAGAAAAGAACAATACGTTCTTCTCGTCTTTAGAAAAGTGCAGAAACGCAGTTTACTTGAGGAAGCAAACTCTCCCTCACCCTCTTTCTCTCTCTGTGTTTCTCTCTTTCTCCCTTCCTTTCTCTTTCCTTCTTCCATTAAATGCACACCTTTCTCGCTTGTCTTTGTCTTCTCCGTCTCTTCGTCTGGCCGCCTCCACCGCCGCTCGGATCTGCTGCAGGTTCTGTGCCGGGAGGTACTGGCGCTCCCCGGAGGACTCACAGAAAGAAGGAAACACTTTGAACTTTGAAGGTCGTCTCAACAGCTGTTGCGGCTCTTCTCTTTGAAAATCCCCGGCCCGGCCTCTGAGACGAAAGTGGTGCAGCAGAGCGGCTGCGCAAAGAGCTCTTCTCGGTTCGAGGCCGCCCCCACCCCAACGAAGCACTTGGACACAGCCTGAGAAATGACTCAAAGCGGCTGCCAAGGCTGCCAAAAGACATTTTGTCCAAGCTTTTGCGCCACACTTGCACACTCTCCGCACCTTCTCGATCATCATCTGCAACTCCTGCCCAGGTCCTTTATCTGTCCGTGCAAGCTGCCAGCCAAGACAGCTCCTTTGCATCCGATTCCATGACGAGGCGATCTGAGAAAACGCGGTAGCACTCATGAAGCCACACCTCAGTTTTGGCCATCATGGCCCAGGCCCCCCAGGCCCCTCAGGCCCCTCAGGCCCCCCAGGCCCCTCGGGGTGCTCGGGACCGGCACCCGCAGGAATCGAGTTGGCCCGGCAGGGTCTCGGAAAACCGCGCTGTTGGTGCTCAGCAAGCCCTGAAATATGTTGGAGATGTCCTGAAATGCTACTTCTCAATCATTCACCCGACTGCAATGATTCGGCTTCAGGGCGCCTTGAGATTAAACTGGTAGTGGAACTTCTCTGCCGATGGCAAGAAGGAGGCTGAGTTCTGGATGGAGGCAAGGACCTGCCGCACGTCTTGACTCAGCTGACAGGAAAGCGACGGCCTGAAAGTACGCTGCGCCGCCGCGCCGCCGCGCCTCGGCCGTGGCGTTCACGATGGGCTCCGTGGTTCGCTGCGTTTGCTGGCCAAAGGCTTCCAGGTGTCTTCCCAGCACCTTGGTGTAGATGCCTGAGATGACCTGGATGCCGGGAGCATAGGTTGTGGCAACCGTGAAGCGCCGTTGCAGGCGGCCGTTGATCATAAAGCTCCCGGCCTACACGTCAGCAAATGCAAAGTATTGCAGGCAAGGACATGCAATGGCATTAATAGCATTAGGCGTTGGGGCCTTGGGGTTCATGCACGCAGCAAAAAGCAAGTCCACGATGGTCTTCTTCTCATCAAGTCGCTCACGGTCGTAAACTTGCCCATAGGACAGGACCTGGCCACTGGCAAGTTGGCAAGTGGGAACTGGCAACTTGGGAACTTCGATCAACTCCACACCAGCCTGGGTTAAGAGCATTATTGCACTCTGCGTGTCATAGCTGTCCACCTCTAATGGTCGTGTGCTGTGCGAGATTCTGCTTGTGCTGCTCAATCAAGTATTTCTGAGCATGTCGCATAGGGCATGTTCAGGTCATCCACAAAGAGGATGCAACGGCGATGCCCTGGCGGGCCAAAAGTGTGGCCCGAGCGCCTTGGTGGGAAAAGGGTCCGGGCTCCGAAAGGCAGGAAGCATATCAAAGTCACGTCGCTTCTCCAGGCAACCCACAACGATGTTTTGAAGTGCCGCTGATGTGGTGTAGCCTCAAAGCCGAGACAGAGAGAGAGAGAGAGAGAGAGGGAGAGAGAAAGAGAGGTCAGGTTGGAGCCTTCTTTTGCCAAGTAACTGTTTAGATTGATTGACGCCGAATTCATGTCACTGTTCACCTTCACCTGAAGACAACAGAGTTGTCCTCGCCTGACGAGCGCAAAATGCCCCAGCCTCGGCAAGGTAGTCTTTGACAATGGTGGTCTTGCCGGTGCCTGCATGGCCAAAACTGAAAGCGTGGCCAACAAAATGGGAAGGTCTCCTGCAACACCCACAAGCAGCATGGGCTTCTGCCGCTTGACATGCAGGTCCAACAAATGCCTCACACCAGGCGCAAGTCTGCCAAGGCGAAGAACCCATGGCAATATTTGGAGACTTTGCAGCGGGCTTCATGCGCTCGAGCTCCACGTTGCTGATGATGATGTTCTGGTACAGAACTTCGGAGACGGGCTCATACTTCCTCAGCGAATCAGGTTACAACAGAACTACAAAAGCTGCGTGTTGGTCGATCCAAGCCGCTTCACGCAGGTTTCCCAGTGAACCCAGTCCTCCAACACGGGGTGGGCTCAATCGAAAAGCAACAAACCCAACATCCCAAAACTAGAGACGTTTGCTTCGCACAAGAATTTCACGTCCTCCCACCCACAAGCATCTGGAAGAATTAGACGACCCTCTCAACAAATTATACCCCCTTTCCCCCTCACCCTTTCACCGAAGTGATCTGCAAAACAACATGCCCTGGAACAAAAACTTATCCCAAAAGTCCCTGACCTTGAACACACCACACACTTACAACCTAGAACGGGGCGCAGGTCCAAAGATGTAATGTTTTCCGGCTCATGTAGTACCTCGCACGTGCATATCTGGCCGTGGATTATTCTTCACTTTTTGCACAAATGGATGCGTTATAGCCATGTTCTGGACAAGAAACGACAATAGATTTTAAAGCCAGATGTGCACGCAGTGGAGTAATACTGAATAAGACAACAGCCTCTCGTGTGCACCCAAGCACCTCAACCATAGTGACCATCGTGTTCAGTATGACGTTCGTGTTCCAAGAGCACACGATGACCAGAGCATCCATGCTAAAGCCATAATACCGTTCGTGCTCCGAGAGCACACAATGACCAGAGCATCCATGCCCAAACCATAGTGACGTTCATGTTCCAAGAGCACACGATGACCAGAGCATTCATGCCTAAGCCATAATACCGTTTGGGTTCCAAGTGCACACAATGACCAGAGCATCCATGCCCAAACCATAATAACGATCGTGGTCCAAGAACACACGATGACAAGAGCATTCATACCCAGATCATAATAACGTATTTCCAAGAGCATACAATGACCATTGCATCCATGCCCAAACCATAATAAACCCTACACCATGCAAACCGAACCCTATGCCTAAACTTTACATCCCCAGTGCTGAGCTCCTTACCAGCCTTACACCTGGATTCCTAAACCTTACACTCTTGGCCTTTTCCAAGTTCAAAAGCCCGGGGGAAACCTTTTGTCTCTTCACGCACGCGACGTTGCACGGCCACGATGCTACTGGTCTAAAAGGCGACGTCCGAATTGGATTAAGGGTTGAGGGCTTGGGGTTGAAAGTTTTAGGTGTAGACTATGGGTCTCGGATTCGGGGTCTAGGGTTTGAGCTTGAAGGTCCAGGGTTTAGGGTAGCGGGTCCAATCAAACTACTTCGGCAAACCCAAAGAAAAACTTCTCCTGAACTGCAAAATCCATGGCCTTGCCAGTGCTTTATATACTTCGTCATGCCCGCAATTCCCACGTTCTCTCCCCCGTCGGCCACCGCAAATGATAAAATCCGGCCATTGCAAATTGTTGTTTTTTGCCAACTAGAACCGCGACTGCTATAGATACAAAAGTCATGCCAGCTGCAAAACCTTCATTCCGAAGAACCCTTACATGACTCTACAGTCTGTTAAGGGCTTGCAGGACTTGATATGTTATGGGATTCTAAGAAGCAATTTGGATTCTGTTGGTTGAGTGAGTTTTATCAGGTTTTCTCAGGTTTACAATGCCTCATTTTGTGTGTGAATATTGGGTATAAAATCATACCCCACATGATGGTAATTAGTTTCTGTTTCCAGTGATGATTGAAGATTGGTGGTGAGGATCCCGCGTACCCATCGAGTTGCGTAGTAGCCATGTATCAACAAGTATTCTGTTTATGAACAAGTCCAGATCCCAGATCCCAGATCCCACATCCCCACATTCCGACATTCCCACACCCCAAACCCATCCTACTTACCTTATGCCATGTAGATCTAGGGATCGAAGCATCTGGGCTCGGAAGTCTGGGTCTGGGTCTGGGGACTTGGGGGTGTTAGGTTCTGGGAGTCCTTATAAACAACCGCTATACAACAACCACTAAAGATACAAGTAGCTGTCTGTGTCGTTCCTGGCTCGCTGCGTGCCATAAGTGGATGTTTCTGACAGGGACCCCAAAAAATCACATCCATAATGCACAAATCACACGGCACTTGGTAGGCGGCAGCCTCCTTACTCTGTCACTCGACCGCATTCTTAGCATAATACTATATTATCAAACTGGTTTGGTTAATTAGACTAAGCTTAGTTGTACTCATTTCCTGATTGGATGGGGGACCCGAGTCTGAACATAAATTCGTTGATTTCAGTCTCACTCGTTTACTTTCAGTAGGGTTCCGGAGCCTGAATCGAAATAGTTTCATTATAACAACAAGCTATCTGAGTCATCAGTTGAAGCAAACTGCCAGGATGGCGTAGTTTGATTACTCTAGTTCATGAATCAAATAAGTCAAGTAAATCTCGTTCTTGGATCAGTGGGCTGGGATTTAATCACAGTAGCCTGTTGGTTGATTGCCCTAACTCATTTGGTTAATGGCCTAAGCCTGAAACGCATTGATCTAGTTGCGTTGACAGTTTGAGTCATTAGCTTCATTTGATCATGTTTATTGATCAAATTACAGGGTCTACGCCTTTAACTTTAGAAGCTCGGTTAAATAAATTGGGTGGCCTCAGCCTGACTCACAAAAATCAATTCTTCAAACTTCAAACTGTGTGATTACTCTGATTGGACCTGAGCCTGAAGTTCTCATTGATGTCCTGTGCAATCTGAATTTGCCAGCCACACTGCTGGCCCAGCTCAAGCAAATAGAGTTGGTGACAATTCCAGGCTGCGATCGCAACCAACAAAAACAGCATCACAAACGGCAAAAGTCCAGCACGAACCAGGTGGCCCCTACAAGCAAAAAAGTAAGCCCACGTGTCGTCGCAAGTAAACCCCCTTTGGCCATAGCCATCACACGCCATATCACCGACTACCAAGTCCAGCGATAAAGAACCCAGCCCGAACGCGCACAGAAAAGCAATGTCCTGCTCTACGCAGAGACACTACCACACTTCCTGTGCCTATAACAGCGTGGCTTGGTGCAATGGCCCCCCTCGACGAAGCTTACAGGGCATAAAGGATACGATGCCCTACCTTCTACCCTTCTGGCAGGCAGGTATAGCCCAAGAAGCGACATGCAGAGCAGCAGAAAGGTTGTTTTGCACTGACGCAGATGGCCACCTGCATATCCTGGGGGGCACTGGACGCAGAAAAAATGGCTCCCACGCAAAACCCTCCAACCATCCGCGGAGCAGGCGTGTGGAAGAAGCTGATTGCAACGGGAGCTGCCGTACTGCGTCCTTCAACGCCTTCACAAGTCGGCATGGAGCCTTGCCGCCCTTCCAAGCAGTGGCGGTGCTTGCCCCAGTTCGCTGGCAGGCGCTGGCACTTCCACTCCAAATGCACAACACCACCACACAAACGCTTTAAGGCCATAAAGAAATTGTGTCCCTACGACGCTGGCAGTCAGCCACCGGCAGCCGCCGGAGGACGGCCCGGGCATGCTCCCTCTGCAAGGATCGGCACAACGGCTCCCTGGAGCGGATGAGGCAAGCGAGCGCTCTGTGCGCATGGCAGTGGGTCCCCATCCGCCGCTGGCCTCAGCGAGATGCCTTGGGCCTCTGGCCGTTTGTAGGTGGCTGCGTTTCGTAGGCAGCGAAGGCACTGGAGCCATTGGCCGAGGCAGTGAGCGCCACTCCCTGGAGCCCGCGAAGATCAAGCTGGCCGGTTAGCCTTCTCGACTTTGAGGGACAGACCAGTCAAGGCCGAGAGGCGGAGGCGGAGGCACTTTTGGACGCCTTGGTCAAAGCGGCGAGCAAGGCCTCCAGCTCCGCATGCTCCGCATGCTCCCCATGCTCCGCTCCGCCTCAAGGGCTGATGAAGACAGCTGTTGCTCTTTTACTGCCTCGCGGTGGCTGGGCTGCGGGGCAACCGAGATGCGGTCAAAGTTGTGCCAGGATATGCTCCACCACGCCGAAAATCATGGGCGCATGCCCAACCTTGAGTCGAAGGTGTCGAAGGACGCGATACGGCAGCTCCCGCATGCATACCTGTTGGCCATCAAGGCCGATGAAGAAGACATCGCACTTCTCGCATGGCAGTTTAGGATGCAAAAACCCTGCTAGCTACAAGCTACGGATCTGAGAAGGGCAAAGTTTTGAAACTGAAAAAATCACAAAAGCTGATCCAACAGTCGCAAGATGCCCTTAGCAGCCAGCATTCAGACATGACTCAAGTCCTGCTGCCCTGTGTCCCATCAGTCTCGGAAATTGCTCACTACAACACTACAGTGCCCCCATGTGCCCCCCTATTGCCTACTAGAACTCCTTGGCCACCACATCAAAGCGGAAGTCGAAGCACTCACCCAGCTCAGGGAGCTTCACACCACGTGCCATGGACCTCTCGCTGCCGCTTTACATCCACAACAGCATGCGAGTACTCATGTGCCAGCATGTTCAGAATTCTTCAGATGTTAACACCGGGCGATGGCTTGCCAACCCTCCTCGTAGTATCTTTATCACGTGTTGGACCCTGTCGCTTTGTCATCGTCCTTTTTTCCTCTCATCGTTTTCCCTAACACCAGAGCAGCTCAATGAGCGGAATTAGTATTCAAGGCCACAGCGTCTGCCTTTGTAGTAACCGTCACCGTCTGATCTTCAGCTTATGCAGAAGCACGAGAGTCTCGCAAGTCAGCCTAGAAAGTGCAAACCCAAAAAAAACACAACCTTGGACCCTGTTTTTTCTCCCTTCTTCGTTCGATGTTCCTTCAATAGTCCATTCGAGAACACTCATGAGACTTCGGCCATGCTGAACTCTGCGAACTGCGAACTGCGCCTCGCTGCGCCTTCAAACTGTCCACCCTATATTGGTTTTCGAAAATGCAGCTTCCTGGTTCCTTCTTCTTGGCTGCTTCTTGTTTGTTAAGCGAAAGACAGCACCCGCAGAATCCGGCAGAGCTCAGCTGGCTGAGGTATCAGCAAATCACCTGCTCGCTATTGGTTCATTGACCCGTTCTTCGCACTGGTCGAATTTGATTTTAGCTTTATGTCATCATTTTTTCTGTGGCGTGGCTGCTGTCGCCCTTGCTTTCGGACACGGAGCTTGCAGCTCGCAGGCAGCTCGCAGGCAGCTCGCAGGCCTCAAGGTGGCGTTGAAGGCTCTCCGGTGGTTCACGAACTTGTCCTCAAGGTTGGAACTTCCCTAAACCCAACTTCCTGTTGTCACAGCTGGGCCCTGGCATCAGCCACTGCACCGCCCAAGGTCCACATGAGAGCAAAGGTGAAGAAGGACTCGTAGACCAGCTTCTGTTCCTGTCGCAAAAATGAACAAAACCTTAAAAAGAAGGAAGTACGCGGTGTGAACACGTCCTCTGTGGGCATTGTCCGCAGCAGCTCCAGTGCTGTGGCGCTCTTCCCTGGACGAAAAAAAATTGCCCTCTTTTTGGCAACTTTTCCCTTGTCTGTGGTCTGTGTAGAGTCTATCCTCGCCTTCGCCCTCTTTGCCACCTGAAAAAAGCACATCATAAGCATGCCCAACACACACACACACACACACACATCTAGCTAGCTTTTGCCTGGTCTGCGGCATGCAAGCATCCGGCATGCTCGGCTCACGGGCTCACGAGAAGGCCTTAGCCCTGCCTCCCACGACCATCATCAGAAGAGCATCCAGCAGGCAGGTCACTGTCTGCACCTGAAATCAGGGAGAACTCTTTGGAAGGGAAACACGAGGCAACCCAAGGCGCGGACAAAACCCATGTCCAAGATGGGGCACGTGAAGGCAAAGTTTCTCCGCAACTGCTCAATGTTGGCCTAAACCACTCTCTCTTGTTCAGCTCCTTTCGCAAGTCCCATCTCCACACGCAGGAGTTGCGGTGTGCCTCGAACTGATGCGTGAAGAGCATGTAGAATGTGCTCTGTGCTACAGGGTCCATCTGCTCCTCAGGCGGTCCAACAAAAACAAAGCAACGTCTCGGCCGGCTGTGCCATGCTCTGTCACGTCACGTGCTATGCAGCCCGAATACCCGCCAGCTTTCCACGAATGGCTTCCAGCCCACGTCGCTCCTTGCTTTCAAATTCTCAAAAGAAAATGTGCTCCAGGGGGGGGGGGGTGGGGGGGCACTCGTTGATGTACAGCACGCCGCCACGGGAAACCGTCGCCGGGCTTGCATGCTTCATGTCCTGACTTGAGGAATGTTCAAGTTGGGAGTAAGGGTGGATGTCCTCTCACATAATTACTTACATAAGGCCTTTATAGGAGGCATAAGCATGGGGAAGCTGGGAAGCCACCTTAGACTTAGACTGAAGGGCTGCACGCTCTTTTTTGCCTATTCCCTCTCGCGCCTGGATCTCCAGAAGCATGCGCATTGTGGCAGTGAAAGGAATCCGCTCGTTGCTGACCAGCGTCAGCACCTCCATTAACAGAATTGACAGCTTGTGACAATGCGTGAGTATGACATGGCAGTGTAACATGGAGCCACTACGCCGCCGTTGGCCTGGCCTTGTTGTCGTCCATGACAGTGTTCATCGACTCAATCCAGGTCGCATCAATATCACCATCCAGCACCACCCACTTGTGCAAGTGGCTTGGCTTGTAGCCATTGATTTCCTGCAAGCTCAAACAAGACAGAGAAACTGCGCTGTCTACACATGGGTGCACCTTGCTCATGTTGCGCATGATCACTGACACCGCGCCATCTTTCCATTCGCCCTTCGAGCTGCAAAGAGCAGGACAAATTGCATTAACCAAAACACAACAAACCTCCAAGCGCCCCACCTTCTCGATGGTTCCATAAAGCTCGTCGGCCGTGATGGCCTTGGGGTTCACCTGCTCCCACTTGCAATCCTGCAGGCATCTGGGCATCTGTGACGCAACCCTCTCCTGCCCTTTCCTCCCCAATGGCAATGAGCGCCATTTCGAGTGATCGCCAGATCTCGGTCTTCCCCGCGCCAGTGGGTCCAATGATGAAGCAACAATGGCGGACCTTTTTTAGGACAAATCTTCCTTGATCCCTCGCTCTTGCCCTCCGTGCCTTCAAGATGTCCAGGAAGTCCACGACCTTGTCCAAGAAGCCTGCATCTGTCGTCCACATCTGTGTCCATCGCACCGCTGGCTGCAAGTCTCTGCAAGACTGAGTTCCGTCTGTTGGTTCAGGGAAGAGATGCAGGTGTGCAGGCAGGGCGTCTATGGTCACTAGTGCAGCAATGCATAGTCCTGACAAGATATGGGCAGCCCGGGCAGGCAAAAAAGATAGACACCAGGCTTTCCGTTTCCCCTTCTGCTTCATCCTTCAGAACTGGCAACATCTGGCAACTGGCCTGGGTCTGGCTGCAGGCCACGCGCCTTGGGACTGAGAAAGGCGTGCACTGCATTCACTGCAATATGAACCACACAATTGTTTAGCGCGCTGCCTTCACTGTGTCCTCGCAAACCTTCCGGAACTTGGGGTCCAAAAACGGCTTGGCTTTGACGCCTGCCAGCTGGAAAGCGCGCATGCGCGACATGTCCCGTGAATCGTTTGTTCAATCCATTCCGTGATTTCCTAGCGTTGTTCAATCATGTTTCATGGAGGTCCATGTTTTTGGACTTTTGTTGTCTCATGCTCCGTTTTGTCATTCATTCATTACTGACGTTTGTTTCGCAAATTTATGTTTTTGGTTGTGTTCCACTGCCTACCCCTAGCAATGACAGGATGAATACTTAGAACCAATTATATGACTCATATGACATATAACTTGACGGCTGGACAGTGTTCTGCACGCACTGTACAACTTTGAAATACAAAAACCTCATGCTTCAGGAAGGAAGGAAGGAATGAAAGAAGGAAGGAAAGAGCCGACCTGCAGCATACACACTCTTCCTCCACCGCATGTCAGGGGGCCTCCGTGAACGTCATCGGAGGGTTCCAGAGGGGGCGATTAATCAGAAATTAATTAGGTGCGGAGCTTGAAGGGCAAAAAGTCGGGCACGGCAGAGCAGGATTCTCGACCCATCAAAAGACAGCCGAACCAGCGCACCTGCGCGGAATAGACGGTTGGCCATACAAAGGATAACCAAGCGGGACAATTGGACGAAAAAAATGACCTGGACCAGATGAAGGCCGCTGAGGCTACTTCTGCCTCCAAACCGAGACGCAGTCAACAGAGACGCAGCTGCGGGGATGCGGCAACAGCAGCCCGGGCGCTGCGAGGTTTGGAGACTGCTTTCAGGGAAAGAGAGGCAAACACGCCGGAGCCGCACAGCAGAAGCAGCAGCAACAGCGGCGGCGGCGACATCAACAGAAGCAGCAACGGGAGCAGCAGCAGAAGCAAAACCAGGGGCAAGGGGAGGTGACGAAGGGCAGCAGGTCCTGGATGCGAGAAAGCTGCCCTGGGCCACATCAGGGCCGCTGACGCCAGTTCTGCCCCTAGTGAAAAACGCAAACAGCAGAGACGCAGCTGAGGACATGCGGCGGCTGCGGGAAGGCCGAGAAGCTGTGGGCCGAAACAAGGCAGCAACCGAGCGCCGTTTGGAGGTGAGGGCCAGGGACTGCGGAAGGCCGAGCTGCTGCCAAGGCCAAGGGAGAAGAGAGGCAAACGCGCCAGATCCGCACAGCAGAAGCAGCAGGCAGCGGCGGCGGCGGCAGCACCGGCAGTGGCGGCAGCAGCAGCGGCAGCATGGGAGCAGGGCAGAGGTTGTAGAACGGCAGCATAAGCAATGGCAAGCAAGGCCAACAGCAGCCGCAGGCCACAAGGTCGCTGAGGCCAATTCTGGTTGTAGGCAGAGACGTGCAGAGGCAGCGCAGGAGCCACGAGAGAATCAGAGAAGCAGCAGCAGCAGCAGCAGCAGCAGAAGCAGCAGCAGCAGAAG